GAGAGAGAGAGAGAGAGAGAGATTGAGATTGAGATTGATTGCCTCCTACAGGCGCCCCAACCAGGGATTAAACCCGCAACCTAGGTATGTGCCCTGATCAGGAATGGAAGCCACAACTTTAGGTCTACCAGATGCTCCAACCAATTGAGTCACCTGCCAGGGCCCATTTAATGACTCCTGATACATAGTCCCAGTTTGCTTTGCCAAAGGGTCCATTGGTTCTTCACATTGTATACTAGCTTTAGCACAGTTTTGTAGTAGTTGGATGTTATGATGTGTTAAATAGCTAATAAGTGAAAGTGGCATGAGATGATTTCATCTCCATTTTTAGAATGATTTAATGCGATTTGTTAGTAGTAGTATATGTGAGAATTAGATTAATTCCTCATATTCATTTGGAAAATTGGTGCCTTAATTAAAAATGTGAAACACGCGAAACCTTTTTTTGGTGTCTGATGTTGTTTTGCTTGCATCTTTCCTGACAGCCTGCCAATGTTCACCGTGCTCAGGAAGTTTACCATCCCGCTGACTTTACTCCTGGAAACCATCATACTCGGGTGATTGCTTTTTCCTCGGTTCCTCCGACTCCTCTCTCCCTTCCCTGCAGTGGTTTTCCCTAGCAAATCCTCAACATCCCGTCCTCTTTCCAAACAGTTGATTTGAATTACCAGTAGCTGTAACTTAAGGACAAATAGTTCAACTTAAAAGCAGTCTCCTGTTTTCATGATTCCCTACCAACTTAACGAATGATTTGTTTTGTTTTATTAATCTTCACCAGAGGATATTTTTGCCCTTGATGTTCCTACAGAGAGTGGAAGTGAGGGGAAGAGACATATCAGTTGGTTGCCTCCCACACGCACCCTGACAGGGACTGGGGATTGAGCCTGCAACCCAGGTATCTGATCTTGACCGGGAATTGAACCTGGGACTCTTCAGTCCGAGGGCCAACACTCTATACACTGAGCCAAACTGGCTAGGGCGAGTGATTTTTAAAAAAATCCTCACCTAAGGAGATGTTTTTATTGATTTGAGAGAGAGAGAGAGAGGAAGGGAGAGAGCAAAACATCGATAGGTTGCCTCCCACATGCACCCCCCACTAGGGATGGAGCCCACAACCTTTGGTGTATGGGATGACATCCAGCCAACTTTGCCACACTAACCAAGTCATGAGTGATGTTTTTATTGTAGTTTTACATTAGACAAATAATGCATGTTTGTGGTAGATATTTATAAAAAGCCACCACCACTACCAAACAGATGTAAATCTGTTTCCTGATCCAGAGGGAATGTACACTGATTTTGGAACACAGAGGGACAGTTGTCCACACAAAACTGTTAGGGTAGGAGGGGAGGTGATTCTGATGCAGAGATTATGATGTGACACAATCAGAGTAAGTTGATTTTTATAAGGTTGGTTTAGAAATTTCTCATAAGGATACTCAGGTTGACACTCAAAAAGGTCATTCCTGATTTGCTGTTTTTTTTTTTTTTTTTTTTTTTTTTTTTTGCCTAATTGCCCTCTTTAGGACCTCAAGTATAATAGTGAATAGACTTAGTGGTGAGAGAGAACCTCCTGGTCTTATTCTTGATCTTAGGGGAAAAACATTTAACTTTTTATCATTAAGTGTACCTTACCTGCTTTTCTTTCATTAATACTTTTTAAATC